GACCGGCTCCCCTTTTCCCCGGTCTGCCCCCCTCAATCTCCTGCCGCCCCTCGTCTCCTCCAGATCACACAACGAATACGGGCACAGCAAAACTTCATATCTTACCGAGGATACCGTGGTCAAGTGTAGTGTTTTCTTCCCCGCCAATTCGACAAATCGGCTCCCAGTGTGTTCTTCATCTCAGTATGAGTCTTTTTGGACCGGATAGCTACTGGGGAGGGTCTGATGACTTCCATGCAAGGGGAGACATTTTGAAAAACGAATGGTTTCATCAAACTATTCGTCAAATCGACAGCAGAGGTGTGTTCCCAGAGACCTAGAATCCTGATTTACCTACTTTACTGATACTAGGGAGGATAGTCCTAGCACAGTCGTTCGCCGTGCTATGGAGTTTGTGCAGCAAAACGGTGGGCGTTGAACAACAGCAGAATCTGCGGAAGGTCCGAAGGAAGTGGTGTCTTGGTTTTGATACATCAGTCGCTGTTCAATGGTAGTCATGACTTAAAGAAATTAAATGAATCCCCAGACCCGTATTTAACGAGTGAAGCCTGCGATACTAATGACTGTCCTTGAGGCGCACACAATCTCGTCCTTAATCGGCTCTTCGACCGGTTTCTCTTCTTTATCTGGCGTCTGAGCTGTCTCTTCCTCAGCTGGCTTATCCTCTTGAACCGACGTCTCGTCCTCAGCTAGCTTATCCTCTTCAACCGATGTCTCGTCCTCAGCTAGCGTAATCTCCTCAACCGATCTCTTTTCTTCAGCTGGTGATGTCTGATGTAATACCGTCCGTTGACGCTTACTTTGAGACTCAAGTCCTTCCAAGCTTTTCCGTTTAGATTTTGTACCTGCAGGTTGAAGTACAGCGGCTGTAGCCAGGCTCTGTAGACAGTTGGCGGCGTCATAGTGGTTGAAAGAGTCAGCTGGCTTGTTGTGCGGAATAAATCGCGTTGAGCCGGAAACATTTGTTGTGGAGGCTTGTCGAAATATTCTGTCATTCCGTGTATGATGACTTTCATGAAACTGGACTGGAATTTGAGGAACAGCGTGGTTTTGACCACACGTCCAAGAATGAAGAAGAGATTGGGGACTGGTGTAAGACTGATTCAAGTGATTCTGAGTGCGGATCGGGGGACTAGGCGGAGACTGGAGACTGGTGTGAAACTGATCTAAGTTGTTGTGCGCGGAGATCGGGGGACCAGGCGCAAAAGAACCTGGGCGTTGTTGGTGGTAGGCTGAGACTGAGTCCATAGGCGAGTGATAACGACCTCCTTGGTAAGTTTGAAGAGGAAATCTCTCCCGGTCAACCAGACCTTTTCCCGCTACCTTCGTCATTGAAACAAGCGCTTGACTCAGCTGAGCAGAATAGAGTCGCATAGAAAAGTCGATGTCACGCTTGAGACGTTGTTCAAGATCTTGCAACTGCCTCTGGATAGATAACCATTCGCGAGGGTAGTGATAGGGAAGATTGCTAAAGAGTCGTTAGATATGATCAGAGTGAATCGGTTGTCAGACTTACCGCTCGCAAGGCAGTTTTGTTGATACGCTCGTTTGTGCCGCAGCGAGGTGCTGCATGCTGCTCGGATTGGTGTTCAAGGGATACATGTTGCGAGATACTTGTGGACTTTGGTGTGTTTGCAAAATTGGAGAGTATATGAGACGAAGTGTACAGGGAAAGCCACGGGCAGACGGCTCATATATAGAGATTTTAGATTGCGGGTCACGACGAGTTAGCCTCGTCGGCCGCTGTGCTTCTATGTTTGAACCTGTTGCTCATTACTCCCTCCGCTCCCTCCGCTCCCTCCGCTCCCTCCGCTCCCTCCGCTCCCTCCGCCCTGCTCTGCCCCTGGCTCCCTCCATTCCCTCCAGCCCCTCTCTCTAGAGTAATTACGTGATACACAATTGTTTCACTCCCTCCTGTAGATGAACTGACTCATAAGTGTACCGGAACAAAGTTGAGTAAGTGTAAATTGTTTGAGAAAGTATGTGTTTAATTCAACTATAACGCTTCATATAGCTGAAAATTTGTGAGGTTGACCAGCTCTGATACACTAATCTCATCCCATTCTTTATCCCTGTACCATGGAAGATCCGAAAGCTCAGTGCTCAAAGTCCAGTCATGTTCCACCACGTCCGAACTCCAAGCTACTCCTATGGTCCTAGACGCCACAATCCAGTCAAAAGTATCTATATACACCAACCCTGGCTCATTCCATTCTTGATGGTCGCTCGGAAGCTCCACTGGATACTCGAAGGATTCCCAGTCCAAAAGCATTGCTTGAAATTGAAGTGGGTTAATGAAGGCCTTTTCTGCGATAGACCGAGGTTGTAGAATTTGAGAGACATTGGCTGACGACGTTGACAAAGGCGCCGATGCTGTGGTCGGAGGGTGAGCGGTAAGAGCAGAATTGTCGTTTTCTAACCCACCATCTCTGGGACAAGCAGGTGGCTCAATACGCGAGAGCTTCTGGCTGTTCGTTACACGCGCTTGAAATGTTGAAGTAAGTGTTTGGGTATCTTCCGGGACCGGTGTAATCCGCAGCGGTTGTGGGTGTGTAGTTAAGAGGGCGCTTTGATTGTCCATAGCGCCCAAGGCAACACCTGCAAGAAGTTCGCTGGTGAAGTGACCTTTGAGTGTTTTATGGCTGTTTTTCGATATGCGAGAGCCATGGCATCGCGTGCAAGTTGTTTTTGGCTTGTCCAGAGCATGCTTTTGCTTCATCTTCAAAGTTGCACTTGTTGATATAATGGGCGCAAGTGAAAGTAGAGGGAAGGTAAAGGCCCAAACTTATTTACAGCTAGATGTTGGCCTAGATATGCCATTTCCCCTGAGTGCGCAGTCGATACCTTTGAGCCTTGAGCAAGGACTGTAACAAAAGATCCTGGGCGACTGGGCCACGGTTGGACATTACACCAGGTCAGTGACAGTGCCGCTCGGCGCAACCTGTGCCGTCCGCGTTAATCTGGGGGGTCAGAACCAGGTCATAGGTCTAATTTAGGGGCCACGCCGGCTGAATTTTACACGGCCTCCTGGGTACTGAGGTATGGAGAGGTGTGGAGAGGACAGTGGGTGAAAAAGAAAGGGTAGAAAGATAGGAAGAGTAAGAAGGAGAGGACCACGACAAGAGTTGCATCATGATCTCACGAAGTGGCTAATTCTCACACACGGAACATCAAGGGTGCTGGTAACCAAAGAAGATATCATGCAATCTGGTATTTCGAGGTAAACTGAATAAGCCGGCGACGTTTCCCCTTCTTTCCCTCTTCATTCGCATACTTATTATCTTCTAAAGAGGGGTTAATATATAACTGATGATAGTGTTTTATACGGATGTGAACGAACCGTATGTGAACTCGTTATGGGAAACACTCCTCAACGGCTTGCTCGAAGATAATCGATCTACTACACTCCAATATATAAAGTCATCCAATCTCCATAGTAAGGATCGCTTGATGTAGCGAACCCCATCCGACTTCCGTAATCTTTGTATAGCAACCAGACTTTCGATTTTCGTTAGACGTTTTCGCTTTGGAATTTTGGCAAAATTATGAAGGCAACGCCACTTTCGTGAGTTTGGATGCATTGTTAAAGTATGTACAAGAGTATAGTTTAAGGGAAATAGATGATGGTAAGTTTGATTTAATAGAAGAGGGGAAGGAGTGGAAGAAAGTTGAATGATGAAAGGATGGAAGGAGAGACAAAAGGAGAATAGAGGCGGAGGGCGGAGGGAGGGCGGAGGGAGGGCGGAGGTGGAGGGAGCAGTGCGATAACTAGAGAAGAAAGGGGAAAAGAGACAGGATAGGCCGCTTTTAGCTATGCTTTCATGGTCAACTGTGCCACCAAGTTCAGACATAGCCCCGTGTTTGAACCGTGCCGTCCTATAGCAGTGCCGCTGGATGAGTGTTAGGCCCTCAGGGTTTCGCGACTGCGTCTACCTCCAACGGCCGTCCCGGCTTGAAGCGGCGCATGGGCGCCTCCAGAAGTCATGCCAAAAGAGTCACCGTCCTTAGTCTATCAGTCATGGGATACAAATTGTAACCGGGTAACTTAAATGTCAGGAGAACTGGGATACGGGCACCACGTCTAGAACGTAACCGAGCGGGAACCAGCTTCTTAATTATAAGCTATATAGTACTGAATCTATCTCTATCCTTAAACACGCTTTGATGATATAGACGCCCGTTTATTGTAACATGATGTCATCAAGTACCCATATACTAACACAGATCGGCCCACATACAGGACAACAACAA